TCTCGTTAGCTCCTGTTAGCTCCTGTTGACGTCCAGCTGCCGTCAGAGCTTAAGGATCTTGTTGAACTCTGATGTTTCTCGTTAGTCTGATTAATTAATTAGAAGTTATTGTTATACGTAAACAACAGTGTCTCTGCTGTCTGATTCGGTTCCAACCCGATGTTCTGGTTCTGGTTCCCTCAGACGAGAGGCAGCGGCAGCTCTCGGAGGACGGCGGTCCGGTGGAGATGACGCCGACCCGAGTGGACCGAGACGTGGTGAGTCCCATCTGTCTGATCCGACAGCTGGACGTAAAGCCGAGGTCGGCGGGTTCACAGTAGGTCCCAGATTTAATCCGGCCGCACAGCGTCTGATTCAAACGCAATCAGAGTCCGAAGCTTTGGAGGACAAATCTGGTTACGTAAGGAGGCGCCGAGGCCCGGAGCTCTGTTGGTTCTGGTTTAATCAGTACAGACCCGGAGGTGAGTCACTCCCTGGGTTTTGTCTTTCAGCAAATCCTGAACCACATCCTGGACGACATCGAGTTCTTCGTCACCAAGCTGCAGAAGGCTGCCGAGGCCTTCACCGAGCTGTCCAAGAGGAAGAAGGTCAAGAAGGGCAAGAAGAAAGGTCCGGGAGGTGAGCAGCGCCACCAGCGGGTCACAGTCTGAAACACAGGAACAGAACAGCTCTGTTGACCCGCCGGACCCAGAAACCCTAACCCTAGCTGTAAAGAACCAGCAGATAGTCAAAGTTCCTGCAGTCCCTGAACTGCTCCTGATGTTCAGTCACATCCATCAGAACCACTCCCATCTAAACATTAACCAGAACAAACCGTCGGATCAGACTCACTGGTGTGGACATTAAACTGTTCCTCCTCAGAGCAGCTGGTTCTCTGACTGACCCGGCTCTGACCCGGCTCTGACCCAAAGATCAGACATCGTTTATCTGTATCTGTACCGAGCTGATCTTCATGTGGATTCACATCAAATCTACGATTCTGGCAGGAAACAGAACCCCTTAAATAAACCTAAACGTATAACTGAACCTTCAGAACCTTCAGAACCTGTTTTAAACCTCGTTATCTTTAATTAGTCTCTGAAACGACACCAGAAGCTGTAAAAACAGAACGAACCTTCAGAGTCCAGCTTTGTGACAAAAACAGAAATAGTTAAATATGAACGCTGTAGGAGGACAAACAAAGAGACAGAACCGTCCAGAACCATCCAGAATGCAGATAAACGAGCTGAATAGAACCTCCTCTGGTATCCATCGATCTGGGTTCTGTCTCCTCCTTCATGTTGTTCTGGTTCCGTTCAGAGTGTTGAGAGCAGACCCGTTAACGTGCTGTGATGTTACCTGAGACCGATCCCAAGTGAGTTGGTGACGTGTGGTTCTGGTTCTGTCCACCAGAGGGGGTCCTGACGCTGAGGTCCAAACCGCCCAGTGAGGACGAGTTCGTCGACTGTCTGCAGAAGTTCAAACATGCCTTCAACCAGCTGGTACCGGGTTTCACCTGACAGTGCTCCATGTTGTGTGTCATTAGAAGGTTTAAACTGGGCCTGTAGAACCTGTAGAACTTTTAGAACCCGCTCACGCTGCCTGTTCCCACCTGCAGGGGAAGCTGAAGGATCACATCCAGAACCCGAGTGCTGTGGACCTGGTTCACTTCCTGTTCACTCCGCTGAAGATGGTGAGTCTCTGTCCAGAACCAGAACCCTGTGCTGGTTCTGCCTGTAGCTGAGGTTCTGATGCAGCAGCTCGTTTCCTCCCTCGTTATCATCATTACTACAGAAATAAATCGCATCTGGACGTTTTCAAAGTCTGGAGAGAAACACGGAGGTTACAGAACCAACAGGAACAAAGAGGACGACCCATCTGGACCCATCAGAACCTGGTTCTGCTGAATAAACCAATGAAACAGAAAAAAAGAACCAAACTCAGAACCAGAACGTCTCCTTCTAATAATCAAGCTGTGATTGGAGCTCTGATCAATAAAGTGGACAATCAATAAAGAACCTGAGCAGAACCTCTGACCCGTCTGCCTCCGTCCTCCAGGTGATCCAGACGTCTGGCAGCGTGGATCTGGCCCGCAGCGTCGTGGTTCCTCTGCTGACCAGAGAAACCATCGACTTCCTTCACGCCGCCGCCACGGCCGAGGAGAGACACCTGTGGGTCGCCCTGGGAGACGGGTGGACCAAGTGCAGGTAGAACACCTGGAACCGGGTCAGAACCAGCTGTATTTAGAAACTCCTCAGACAACAAAGCAGCACAAAGGGCTTTACAACACTTGGAGGACAGGTTCTGTCCAGAACACAGTGGTTCTGGTGTCATGGACCTGTGGTGCTCCTGGTGTGTCCGTGTCATGTTCTCCTCATGTTCTCCTCATGTTCTTCTGATGTTGTCCTCATGTTCTCCTGATGTTCTCTTTATGTTCGCTTCATGTTCTCCTGATGTTCTTCTGATGTTGTCCTCATGTTCTCCTCATGTTCTTCTGATGTTGTCCTCATGTTCTCCTCATGTTCTTCTGATGTTGTCCTCATGTTCTCCTCATGTTCTTCTGATGTTCTCCTCATGTTCTTCTGATGTTGTCCTCATGTTCTCCTCATGTTCTCCTCATGTTGTCCTCATGTTCTCTTCATGTTCTCTTCATGTTGTCCTCATGTTGTCCTCATGTTGTCCTCATGTTCTCCTCATGTTCTTCTGATGTTGTCCTCATGTTCTGCTCATGTTCTGCTCATGTTCTCCTCATGTTCTGCTCATGTTCTCCAGGCTGGAGTGGCCCAAGGACTACTACTTTCCCCCCTCGGTGCTGAGGTTCCGTGACGGCTGGGAGCCTCCGTTGGTTCCGGGGGCGACTCGGGAGCAGGACCTGGCCCAGCTGGCCGAGAGCCTCGCCAACGCCGACGTCCAGAGAGCCGAAGATCTGACGCTGCGACTCGCTCAAGAGGTGAGAACCCGTTTAGAACCGACTCGGACCCGAGCCGAGGAGAGCCGCTGGTGACGTGTTGTGTCCGTGTCCTGCAGGCGGCGCTGCAGAGGTTCCCTCCGGCCGACGGGTACGACTTCTCCTCCTCCTACAAGCGAATGCAGATCCTGGATCAGGACGCGGCTGTCGCTGCTTTCAAACACGCCGTCAGCCGCCGAGTGGACCGGTAACCTCGGGTCGCTGGACGCCCTGGAGAACCGGGCCCCGCCGGAGTTCTACGGAGAACCAGGACACGGCCTCATTCATCAGACCATGTGTCACATAAATAAAACCAACATAAACAAACAAACAGCTGGACTAGAAGATGAAATATCAGTAAATAAATAAAGATTAAATCAACACAACAATCAGCATCATGGGAGAGTTAAAATAAAAATAAAAGAATAAATAATGATAAATAAATGTGTGTTTATACGATGACAATAAAGATAAACATGGAAGAACAAATACACAAATAATAATGAAATGAAGAATAATTATAAAAAAGATTAAATAAACTAATAAGTGTGTAAATATGGAAACTTTATATTAAAGAATAAACTGATATCATAATAATAATAATTTAGTGCGTAGATATATGATAAATAAATAAAATCTAAAATAATTAAATCAGCAGTAAATACATGACAGAATAAATAAACATCATTAACACAAACATGTTTTTTATGTTTTATTTCTATACACATGTTTAGTTTTTTTGCTTTTTTATTTGCATAAATTAGACTTAAATAAATAATAATGACACACAACAGTTCATAAATGAAAGTAGTGACACCGTCAAAGCAGATGTTCTGTAATTAACAGATAATTAAATATGAGGAATATTCAGGACGTCAACATTTCTTTACATCCATATTTATTTCTGTGTTTATACATTTTTTTAAACATTTATTTTATTAAAACAAAATAATGTTTATGTGTAATCATTGTATTAATTGATTAAATGTAGATTATTAATTAATTTCAGAGTGAATATTTGATGGATGAGGTTCTTCTGGTTCTCTGAGAACCCAAATCGCTGCTTTCTGTCTTTGTTCAGGGACTTTCTGGATAAATTTCTGCTTCAAACCTAAAAACTGATCAAATCTCAAACTTTCTTTCTCTTTTAACTGAATCTTTATAAATCTGAACATTCATCTATCATCTATAATCTATAATCTATATAATCTATAATCTATATAATCTATAATCTATAGTCTGTGATGTGTTTTCTCTGGTTTCTGGCTGGACTCGGGGACGTTTCTCCACGGCTGTAGACGGACTCACGTTCAAATGACTCACATCATTCATTAGATAGTTTGTCTTTTATTTGTTGTATAGAAACTGTATTTTTAATTTGAGTCTTTAGTTCAGGAGCTAAATGTTGTTTTGTTGTAGTTTTTCTGCAGATCTTTGGGCGTCATGGAGGAGAATAATCATTATTTGTGCCTTCAATCTGAGTGAGAGCAGCTGAACGGCTGAATTAGATCCATCGTTTGCTGAGTTTCTTTGTAAACACAGGAACGTCGTTCATGGCTTCAGCTCAACGTTGACATGATTACACGTAGAAATTACTTCATTTATTTACCTGCAAGAACATTCAGATCAAACGCTCTTGTTGAGGATTTAACGTGTTTAACAGAAGCAGACTTTAAACCAGCAGCAGCTCTGATAAACATCTGTAGTTCATAAGCTGCTGCCGGCTGTGACGTCGGCCAGCAGGCGGCGCTGCTGCACACACGCTCGTTAACCTCGTTATCCTCCTGACGCCTGCAGCTCTGTGCTCCCGTTTAACGGCTTTCACTCCTCGATGTGTTTCAGGAGCTTCGACGCCGACGAGCGGCCGCAGCCGAAACTTTTTGCCAAATCCAGATACGACTTTGTGGCGAGAAACAGCACGGAGCTGTCGGTGCTGAAGGACGAGGTGGTGGAGGTGACGGCTTCACCTGTGTTCACTCCTGTAGCTTCCTGGTTTATGGAGGCGTGAGAGGCCAGGTTACAGAAACTAAAATAAAAAATAAATGTGGCAATATAAAGCAGTGTTAATCACAAATGAATCCATAAAAGAAAAGGCTGATAAAAGTAGAAATATAAAGACAAATAAATAAAATAATAATAAT